GCGTAAAGACGAATATCTTTATCAATTGATATCTTAAATGCAAATAGTATAGCGAATATAAAAAAGTATCGCAAAGCTTAACACTCTGTAAACGTAAACACTAATCAGCTGAGTGCGTCTGAGCGACACACATTTTTTTCCTCTTCGCTTTTTCTAATATAAGAAAGTCTTTATTTTGAAATATTGAAAAATTTAGAGTACTTTTTCTTTTTCTTCTTTATATTTCCTTTCACGAAGTAAAGCAAGTATTGTAATCGCGAAAAATTTCGGATATCACATTTCAACGAAAATATTCATTTTGACCGCTCTCGAATCCATTTAAAAGTTGTTTTTCCTGAGAACTGTACGTACGGACAGAATAAAAGACTCTTTTTTCGAAAACGGATTGTAAAATGGATTCAGAAGGAATCTTTTTTATGTCTGTATGTACGTATGTAAGTATCTCGCATAACTCAAAAATCGTTAGCCGTAAAACTGAAAACTGCTATAACATGTAATTGTGCACCTCTCTTTTTGGTTGCAAATTGGCCGCATCAAACGCTTTTTTTATGCTTATAGTGGTAAATTGTGCATTTTTTGCTTTACCAAGTGATTGAATTATGTTGTTCTTGTGTTCCGGTTAAGGTTTTTATGCCTTTATTTAATCTACATGCAATAGTTGTAGAATTATCAACAACTTAGAAGTTTTAGTTGCATTAAGCCTAAGGATTTGTTTAGATTGTTTACATTTGAAATGTAACATTAAACCCAACTATTTTTACATTTGGAACTCTAAGTAGAATAGTGAATTAAGTCTGCTGGTATCCAAATTCAGAGTCTTTTTACCCAGTTCTGTTTTGTGCATAGAAAACTTGTCCTCCTGCCCGTTGGCCGAATAGCTTATTTTGAGGCAGAAACTCCTTTTTTATTGTAATTTTTTTAACTGTATTTGGTATTTTAGATTTTTGCAATATTTTATAATTTTGAATGAAGCTCTTGGATTTTATGCATTTTTGCCTTGCCATGAAGTGAGAACTGAATTTCTAATGAATATCTCTAATGAAATTCGAGGAATTACGTTTAAGTGCAGCAAAAAAAACTGTACAATTTAATAGGCCATATGTCATGTGCTGCCCACATCAGAATTTTTTTTAATATATATGTTTTTCTTCTAGAGGAAGCATAAACTATAACCATGAAATCTTAACTAAACACCTTGAGTGTTTGGATCTGCACGAGATTAGATAGATTTCTTTGTTTTAGTTTTATTTCAATTGAAAACTTTTAAATGCAGATCCAGTAATATTTGCAAAAAACCTATAAAGGTTTTTGAAACGTCAGCCTGTAATAGAGGTACGTTTGATAGCATTTAATTAAACATTAAGATTTGACTCGCAAAAACTGAATGTGGTTATTCAAAAATGAAACATGAAGAAATAAATAAAAGTAATCTATAGCATCTTTTTTTTTTTTTTTTTTTTTTTTTTTTTTTTTTTTTTTTATAATACCAAGCGAAGAATACACACCATTTATCAGGATTAATTTCACTCTACGTAACTTCATTTATCATTGTGGATAAGGGAAACCTGAACCTGAATCTAATTGAGGACTTCCTGATCTGATACCTTTAATAGTATGATCAACATATAAGCCGATAATAATCAGGAAGATGAGTCAGTAACATGAATATTCAAAAACGTTGATTCAAGGCCTAAAGGGTGTGTGAAACTCCAAACAAAAGGATTATCAAAGAACATACACAAAGAACATGTATGTAACATAGAGTTTAGCTAGAAAACATCTGCTGTTCAGGAAGTAGATAACAAAAGAAATCATAACTGTAAGATGATAAAGTGTCATAAATTTTTGTAGAATTATGTAATTATTGCTTCTCAGCAACTGTTCGTTACAGGCATATACTTCCAATCACGAAAATTCTCAAATGTTTTCATGTCTGAAATTTAAAAATCTGACTTGGATATCATATGATTTAATTATTGTCCTATTAAATTATACACATTTTTTTCTACTTTTTCATTTGAACTTATTTTCTCGAATTATTCTAATTTAACTAACGGATTCCTCAAATCAAGTTGAAAATTACATCCAAAATTACAAATGTTATAAGTAAATATCCCGGTCAATTTTTCTCGTTGGGAGTCAAACTTCTTGGAATTTTTTTTTTTTTTCATAATGAATATTAAAATTTTCCCACATGTAAGTATATTAATCGGGAGACCGCACTAAAAGTTGTCCAAAAATTATTTTTTTTTAATTTTGACATTGCGAAAACATGAATATTTTCACCATTTAAAATACTTCTGATTGGAAGTGTATGGCTACGACCAACGATTGTAAAGGGCAGAACTAGATATTATAGCCGTCTTATATGCAAAATTTCAGTGTTCTATGGCTAATCGTTTTTGATATTGCATAAAGAAATGCGAGATAATCTTGCGAATTTATACAGATATTACGAGCATACGAATGCGTACCTAGCATACGTACGTACATATAGACGTCCCTAAAAAAAATCCACATAACAATATGTTTTGGATTATCTTTTATTCCTCTCCTTACGTACAGACATCACGCAAGAAAATAGTCAAAATGGATACTATTTCCGTTAAAATCTAGTAATCGAAATTTTTCAAGTTTACAGTACTTCCCTTAATTCGTACAAGGAAGTAAAAAGAAAAATAATTTTGTAAAAATTACGAAATCCAACATTTTATACAATTCTTCAGTCCCTATACTTATATTTAGAAAAATATTATATTCATGACAGAAAAAGAAAAAAAAAAAAAGGAAAGGAAAAAGAGCAGACAAATGTGACAAAAAGTGACCGAAATATTTAATTTTAAAACCTGAGATTTTTTAGGTCACTTTCAACTTGTCTTGAGAGGTCAATTAATAAATAGTAGATTAAAATACATCGAGATTAGTTTTTTCTATTAAATACCTTTTTTAATGATATATATATACACACACACATGTATATATTTTCTGTGTATGCGTGTTATAACTGGTGTGCCGAAAGCATTTTCACACAAGTAATTTTATGTATTCTCTAATGCTAAAAATACGTTATTAATATTCTTATGAACTTTAATTAATTTAGAATCGCAATCTAATAATCAAATAAAAATGTCATTAAACTAGAAATGTTTTTGATGTATGCAGATAATACCACAGCCCTCTTATGAGTTTGTCCGCAACTAACTCATAAGAATTGGCTGTGGACCAATTCTAAATCCTGAAAGTATTTTCCAGAATAAGAATTCTGTGAATAGGACTTCCTTTCTGAAATTTTTATATTAATGAATAGATCTTTAAAAAAATGTTCGTCACTTAATTTGTTAGCGTAATTTTAATGCTGCCGGTTTCGATAAAAATAGGGAGGTGCACAACTAGATGTTAAAAAAGTGTTATATACATAAATTCATAGCTCTACAACACAAAATATTCCATTTTGAATCCATTTTAAATCCATTTTGCAGTCCGTTTTGGAAAAAAGGAGTCCATTATTCTGTGTGTATGTACAGAACACCAGAGCGAGAGCCACCCAGACTCAGGCAAAGTATCTCATACACGGTTATATTGGTCACTTACTCCGGAGGCGATCTCGGGAAGCCGGAACTCCTAAGGACAACCTTTTAAGGCTCCGTTCAGACGGTGGTATAAATGTCATAACTAATTTAAGCTTTTCATCTACATAGACTGAACAGTAAATTCTTTAATAAGAGACAGAACTGTAGCAAGGGTGGCTTTAATGCTGCACTTAATTATATTTGCATATATTGCATAGAATGTTAACATCAGACTTTTCACGGCATTTAGGATGAAGAATCACAATTTCGTAACTTAGTCTAGCCTTGTATGATAATGTTACTACATGTAATATATTTGTCAGCTTTGCAAGCTTATATTTATGACTCTGTGTTATAGGAAACATTTAGTTTATTACATGTTTATATAATTTACATTTCATATTTGGACTTAATTATTCAATGCATTGTTCACTAGTCTCTCAGTGGTGGATGAATGCGATTATCTGTTGATAGGATGTTAGTCCGCTATAGATCGATTGGGCTCCCTTCTCCTATGCTCCTCCGATTTCCCTGTTGAGATTTATTTGCTTCTTTCAATTCTGATTGCTTTAGGGAGTAGTTAAACACAGCTTATAAAAGCCTATATTGGCTACGCATATGAATGTGGTATTAAGGTATTCAGCCGAACTTCGTTGCTATGTAACCAGACCTTGCTATGTCACAAAAACGAGTTTAGGGGTTTTGGCATAAAATTTGAAGTTTTCAACTCTGTGCCAACTTAGTATAAGGCTTGATCAAACAGAGCGAATGCGGGAAACCTGTTCAGCGGGAAAACAGAGCAGGAAAGCTGTAGACACATCCGCGCATTCGCAAATTTGGCTTTTTTAATTGGCCACGGCTTAGGCCGTGTCTGGCGGGTGTGAATGGAGCTCCCGCATTTTATGTCTTATAACTATGACTCTGTGACATTTATACCACCGTCTGAACGTAGCTTTACATTATTTAATATCTAGCGATCACACAGCCCGACACAGATTTGACAGTACCTTTTTACAGATCTTGTCGAGCCTGCACGGAGCACCCTAGGAACGGTGATTCTAGTCTCCTCCGAAATGTCCACTCCCAATATATGGACGTTACGAGTTGCCAGGTGGGGACGAGTAAGGCCCGATTAGCGGCATAAGCAAAACAGCCACTCGCGCGTTGCCGCCTCTCCACCATGTCGAGGAAAAACTTATGAAGGGGCCGTCACGAAAACAAATACTGAAAATGGATTCGAGAACGGTCAAGATGGATATTTTCGTTAAAATCTGCTAAACATTTTTTTTTTTTTTTTTTTTTTTTTTTTTTTTTTTTTTTTTTTTTGATTGTAGTACTTTTTTGATGAAGTAAAAATGACTTACTTTAGTGAATTGTTTAAAATGTTGGCTTCCTTTTCTTGGTTTAACTGTCTGACTTTTTATCTTTCAGATGTGCTGGTTTAAGGAATAACCAATTCAGATCTGGATCTTGCTCTGATTTTGATCCATGCAAAGAGAACACCTGTGGGAGCAGGAAAAAGTAATTTTATTTTTTCTTTTCTTTTATGTAACTGAAAGGAAAAAATTATTTTACTAATTTAAAGCCAATTCAGCTTGATCACAATAATTTTGCTGACGTTAAATACATTTCTGCTTGTATAAAAACATATTGCTATAACTGAAATTAAAAAGCATTGTTTTCTAAATTAATTAGAATTGCAAAAAAAATATCATTTTGAATTCTGTATGATTATTTAAAAAATCTGATGTGTACACCACATGACTTCCTTGTACGGAATATTAAATTACACGCATTTTTTCTTGCATTTCGTTTAAACTTATTGGATTGAATTAAATTTACTTCGCTGACAGCGCATAAACCACAATAGAATAAATGCATTCTTTAAAATTCACTCTATTTGTTTAACATAGCGACACTCTGGCGCTAGGTTTACTTAACAGTATTATATTTCGTTCATATTAGAACTCAGAACGCACAAAATTTATATCATTTAAAGAATTATCTAATCATTGCCACATGTTCTATTCAAATACTATAATAAAGCTAGAACTATGTATAAAAGAAATTAAGCAAACAAAACAAAAAGACACAGTTTTTCACAGAAGACGATTGAATATTTTCTCGTTTCAATTAATTCAGTTCTCAGTTCGCGACATAGCAAAAATACATAAAAACTCAAAATGTCTGCATTAAAAATTACTATTATTAAAAATTAAATTATTAAAAATTAAGTAACTCTTAAACACTTATTCCCTCGAAAAATTCCAGAAAGGGTTAAGCATGATTTAAATCGCAATAATAAATGAAGGCGTTATCTTTGTTGTTGCAAAGCTAAGTTTCTCTAGATTGGCAACAAATCCACTATTCTGCTGTTTCAAATGTAAAGAAGCAATGGCCGCCATCAAAAAAATTATTAGGCTTAGCGGCACTTAAACAACTTTATAATCGTTGATAATTTTAAAAATATTGCATACAGATTTACTAAAGGCATAAACACCTTAACCGGAAGATAAGAACAACATAATTCAATCATTTTTAAAGCAAAAAAATTTACAAACATATAAGAGTAAAGAAACTGAGATCACTGAGCCGGGTAACAGAGGGGATATATATATAAATATATTTATATACGTTTGGTGCGGCCGATTGCAACCAAAATACGAGGTGCACGTTTACATGTTATAGCAGTCCTATATACAAAATTTCAACGTTCTGAGGCTACTCGTTTTTGAGTTATGCGAGATACGTACGTACGTACGCACGTACGTACATACGTTCGTACAGACGCTACGAAAAATTCTCTTCAGAATTCATTTTAAAGCAGTTTTTTAGTTTTTTAGTTTTTTTTTTTTTTTTTTTTTTAGATCTTTTATTCCGTCCTTACGTACAGATATCACGCAAAAATATCGTTAAATTGCATTCGATAGCGGTCAAAATGGGTATTTTCGTATATTAAATATGCTGCCTGAAACTTTTCGCGATTACAATACTTCCTTTTTACTTCGTGCAAGGAAGTAAAAAGACATTTAAATCTTGTTACAAAAAGTAGAATGTCCATGTGTTTGTGTAAATCTACATTTTTTCCCGATCTTAATGAAGTTGACCTTCAAAACAAGAAAAGGTCATTGTCTACATAAAATTTCTCAAAAACCACCCCTCGGGTTAAAATAATTTATATACATATATTTACGCTATTTTAACGAACTTTTAATTAAAAACTCAACGATTTAAAAGCTTTGGGATGCCACTTTGCAAAGCCTGAAACATTTACGCTTAAAATTTAATTAGAAAACTCCATGGTGTAAAAGACGTTTGTTGCCACTCAGCAAAACGCATTATATTTATTTGTGTTTCGAATTAAATAAATGAACTCAGGAAATTAAGAGAAATATGCTGTCATTTCCCGAAAATTAAAATATTTTTATCTTCCTAGTCTAATTTTTGGTCTTGTTCTGATTAGGTTAGGCAGATGAGATTATCCACTACACACATTTTAATTATTATTTTAACTGATCAACGCGCGGAAAAATATGGAACACCAACCGAAAAAAGGAAATTTTGTTTCCTAAATGTTTAGGCTGAAAAATTTTTCCGAAATATTTAGGCCTAATTTTTTTTCATTTGCGAAACTACCTAACAGTAACTAACGGCAATAATTATTGCTGTATCTCACTTGCTTTCCTTATCATATTGTCAGCATGCAAGAAAAAATGTGAAAGTAATTCTTTATTTTGGTCTCATGTTATCGATATTAGACGTTATGGATTCACAGGCTGAAAAATTAGAAGTAAAAAGGTACTTTGAAATAATTTATTGTAAAAAGTGTGATTTTTCTCGTTCCTAATCCTTACTCGTCACATTTCGGAATCTATGGGCTTTCTTTCTAGAAGGGAATCATAATTTACAGGATACCATTTTGAGAAAATTTCAGAAATTTCGAAAAGTGTAAAAAGGGAATTAAATATGATTCCAACAACTGGCTTCTATAGAAGCATCCCTGAATTCCAAAAGCGAGGTAAGAGTTGTGTAACAAGTGAATACAACAAGTGACAATGGTTTAATTGGTCTCTTCAAACCTCGGTTTCTTGTGCATTCAGTTCTAAAATTTCACTAACGGCTCTGTACGTATACTTTTGCCTATGCTTTTTGTTCTCTCTGTTTAACTGCGCATTAATACTTTGCAGTTATAAAATAATGAGATCACACCTATTATTTAAATCACTGTGCTCACTAAAAGAAAGAAGAAATATTAATACATAAACCCTAGCCGCAAAATGGCAAAACAAAAAGGGAAGAAATGTAAAAGTTCCTTCTAATAAACATCTATCTTGAATATATTTCGTAACCTTAAGACACTTATTTTATTAATTTCAGGTGTGTTCCAAGAAAACAAGTTTGCCTGAGCTTCAAGAGAAAATGTTCACAGTACATCTGCGGTATGTATTATGTTCTGAACCATTTCTGCCTTTCAGTTAATTCTGAGACTTTCAGTTATTCTGAATCTGATTTCATTTAACGTTTATTTATTAAACTCGCAATTAAACGGATGAAGCCTGCTGGCAGGTATAAATATATCTTGACTTACTTTTGCCTCGACCTATATCTCATGTACTTATGTCACCTTAAAAAAGGGGGCTGAAAGGTTCACTTTAAAGGGATAATACTTTGTATGTAGTTTAAGGCAAAATCGGAAGAAATTCTTCTCTCTCTTGGGAACACTGATTTTGGACCTGAAAATTATCATACGGAGAATTCGCGCGATGGTCTAATCGTCATTATTGCCATAGGCTTTTAAAGGGTAAAATTCATTCACACCTGTGAAAGAGTTTAAGCCGAAACTATTCAGTGAAAGTAAAGTTGCATATGTGTATGTGTAGCGAAATTGTCGACAGAATGTCAGTTCGTCTTGATTGCGATGTGATTGGTCGGTTCTATTACCAGCTTGGCAAAATGTTAAACAGTTAGAACTCTTGGGTAAAGATTTCATACCACTTTGTGTAATGTAGCAAGGTCTGGCTGCTGAGTAATGAAACTCGACTTAAGTCCCTTATGACCGCTAAGTCTTTGTCCGCAAAGCCTTAGCCCCATTTTATTTTGGAAATTGATCATTAGTCTCGATTTCAAAACTTACTTTTGAAGGTGATGTTAATCACCGATACTTCTTCTAACCTCTTTTGTGGACTTTCAGACTTTCACCCAAGACTGAAAGGCACTTTTCAACTCCTTTGATCAATTACCAGGAATTTCAGATTTTGACCCAAGCGCGAAAGTTGTTTTTTAATTCTGATCATGAACTTCGAGCTTCGCAATTTCACACAAGGATGGAAGCTGTTTTTTAACTCTTTAGGTCACGTATCGGGTAATTTCAGATTTTGCCCCATGTTTAAAGGTTGTTTTTAATCCTTTTGATCACGTTACCTGAAATTTCAAACTTTGATACAAGAGTGAGATTTTTTAGTTCTTCTGAAAATGAACCAGGAAATTCAGACTTATATAAGTTAAATTTTTAATTTTTCTCGTTATGCATTTGGAATTTGAGACTTTGACCCAAGAATAAAAATTGCTTTTTTTCCATCTGAACACCAGCCATCTCTTCAAAGAAATGAACGTGAACACAACAGACAAGAAAGAAAGAATATTCTCACCCAGACCTTTCCAGAAAGAGGACGTCTTTGTCGGTCCAGATTCAATGACGGATTTCTTCTAGTCTTCAAACATTCTATCATTGAAACAGAACCAGCTAATTTCACAAGCTATGATATATATTATACATATTTTTAAACACTGGTAATCATTTACGAATCAAACATATTTAAAAAAGATTGCTTGAATAAAATATATTTTGAACACTTGACAAATGGCATGATACCTTCATTAAAAATATATACTGAACTCAAATTTTTATATGGACTCCTTAGAAAAGTATTCTCAATGAGCCGTTCAATATTTGAATAGCCGGAGTAATCTATAAAAAGCATTCCACCCTTAAATTATCAAAATTACTTAAAATGTACTTAATTAAACTTTTGGAAAACACATACACAAGCATTTCTAACGAACAACTGTGCATGATATGTTGTCTATTGCAACCAACTGTAAAAAGCAAACAATATTAATACAAAAGATTATTACAGATCAAATTCCCATTCGCAAAATTACTAAAGTTTAATTGTGTGGCAAGGTCTATTGTACTTGGTGTAGGCTTTCCTGTCCCATGGGGATTAGTAACAACAACTAAACTTTTTATGTTACGAAATTCAACTTTATGACACCCATAAATAATCACTCCTATTTTCGGATAGAAGTGCTTCAAGTCTTAAAATTTGCACAGTTTGCTTTGTCACCAAATCTGCATTTTGAAAATTTTCTAGAATTTCTTATAAGTGTGATTTTCTTCGCGGAAACTCTTCCTCTGTCAACAATTGTGTTTGCACTAACACGTACCGAACTATTAAAAAGTTTTCTTTTCAACCAATTACCAGAAATTGCGTTTTTTCAGATAATATTATGTGGTTAACCACCTATCAAAGCTGTAGCAATGCCAACTCAAATATAACCCTCGATAGAGCAGTTAAAGTGTACAGGTTATGTAGTACAGAAATTTAAAGTAAATTCATCCTGCTAATGATTTTGAATAATATATATGTGTGTTGACGGAAATAAAAAAATCATTGGATATTTTAATGAAATTTAATATTTTTGTCAATTTTAAAAAAAATGCGTTTCCAGATATGCATTTGGGTCTCTTTCCTGAAGAGGAATCTAGTGGTCAGTTACCTAAAGCCGCTAAAAAGGGATAATTTTCTAACGATTTACTTTCCCGATAGTCTGAATTGGGTGATGTATGAGGTTTGTTATAATTTAAATGTGCCTCTATTTCCGTTAGATATTGCTCCACGAAGACACCCATTTCCATGCAGCGCTAATGTGCTTTGTCATAACCATGTAATCTAATCGAATCTTTCCTGAAGATGTAAACTTTGACAACGTTTCTCTTGCTTTCTCTTCAAGATAATGGCGATATATAGAAATACCGTATTTCGCCGCATATTTCCACTCCCTAGCTTTTTAGCGCTAGGTTAAAAAAATGTGTTTAAATATCACCTTCCTCAATGCATTCAGAGAGCGAGGCTTCCTTAGATTTTAAAATGGATTTATCCATGTAGTGATAATTTTCACCATGTTAACAAAAACAAAATCTCGCAGATTACCTGCAAAGATCAGATCGAAACTTACGCTTCTAATTGTTGAACTTTATGCCAGCCTAATATAATAACTGATAGATCACAACAAAGTTTTGTCTCTTTTGCTGAGTCAGCTGTAGATTCAGCTTCTCTAATTATTTATGAATAATCCGAGACCTGATGAGTAGCACAGACAACAATAAGAACGCGCGAGATTCAGATTATATTGAAGTAGAAAAAGATATTTTATTAGGTATTGTAATGTTAATATTACTATGTATTCTTATTGGAATCTAGGTTTCTTTTAAAGAAATGTTATTGGGATAGTTACAAGTAGTTTATCCATGACAAATTTTCATTTGTTCTGCTTCTACTATTACCACGTCCTTAGAAATTAAATTATTCACATAATTTTCTCTCTCGATTATGGGACGATAGTAGAGAAAAATGTGTGAGAAAATACGAAACTTAAAAAAACTATAGTAGAACGATTTTCATCATTATTTATTTATTAACATGCAAAATTAAAATGAATAACTGCACAATTTTTGTTAAGAATGTTTCATTTCATATATGAAATCATTTTAACTGTAACTATTTATCTTGTAGCAAACAAAGATAACTGTGAAGATAAGCCGTATTCTCCTGTTTGTGATACAGATAATGATGAACATCCAAACATCTGTTTATTGCTTGAGAAGAAGAGAAAGCTTGCTTATTTTGGAAAATGTCTGGTGAGTATTCATATTTGTCATGCATAAAAATAATTTTTATAAAATTTTATTACTTTATTTCCTAGCATCATCCTGATATCTTTACATTATTAAATACATTAGACCAGGGGATTTTCTTTAAAATAAATTAAATAATTATTTAAATACACGCACGACGTTGGTGTTTTGTACACACGACACTGGTGCGCGTACAAAGCATATTTTCTCCGCATACATCGACAACAGATTTGCAGCACATATTCTTAACAGCAGTCGCATTTTGCAATGAAATGTACACTAGTTAGTTACTAATACTATATGTTATGTTTTATAACACATATCCAATAGGTAAAATTGCTCTCTGCTGAAGATAGCTTCAACAATGAACAGCAAAGTAATGGCATAAGGTAATTCTTTCATATAGGAATATAAATTTATTCTTAGTTGTCTGGAACATAGGCTAATCTGATAAAAATTTTGAACACATCGCTACACCGAAAAAAACCGTGATGATCACCACTCTGTTCCAGTTTAAATAGTGTACGACCTAAAGATACTAGATGGTGTTATAGCGGAAAACATGACCGCATTGAGGTTCTCGTACGCTAGAGTCATCGATTTCAGGGCGCCATTGTTATTATCGTTATTATTAATAATTGATAGACACTTGCCCCATTAATAACTTTCAGCGTAATGTCTGTCAGAAGCAAGAAAGTGTATGTATATATGTTACCGTGAAAGACCGAAATTGGAGAATGTCGACTTTCACCGGAGAATATCAACATTCACCAGTTACGTCGGTGAAATATCGAATATTTCATTACATTCTTGTACATTCGGACCCTCACCGGTGTATGTCGACAATCACAGATATGCTCTGGTGTAGGTCAAAAAGAGAGGAGTATATGTACACGCTGTCATTGCAAAAGAAAATGTTCCACAAATAAATGCAGTTGTAAAAGCAAGGGCCTCTTGTGCAATTCAAAGTGTCATAATAATTTAAGTTATTGCAATAAATAAGATTTGAACCACATAAATAAGTTTTTAACTTCTATTATTTTCCTTTCTCGTTTTGAATGTACTGTGTATTTTAAGTTCCTATGTTCTTAAGTTCTTATTGTAAGTCTCGAGTGCGTTTTTTCGCGACTGAATAACGGGGAAGAAACTATAATGATAATCTTACATTTATAATAATAATCTTACATGTTCAACATTCACCAGTACCTGGTGAATGTCGACATTTACCGGTGTAAGTCAGAAATAAGAGTATTTGGAAAATATTTCGGACATACACCAAGCGACTACGTGAATGTTGACATTCACCGGTGAAAGCCGACATTCTCCAGATTTCGGTGTTTCACCGTAACATATATATGTAATGCAAAATAAATTAAAATAAATAATACGTTTAAAATTCATCCCGTATTCAATTCGGTATAAACCGATGCATAAAGCCAGAAGCACAGTGACAAAATCAAGAAAAATGGGAATAAAACATGCAGTAACCAAAAATGAAGTAATAAGAAATTTACATCTTTCGCTGTATCGTCATCAGGGGTTGGTGCAACGAAAGAAGTTATTTTTGAATCTGAACCAATAAAGACAAAAATTAAAGTTCAAAACTTAAAGTAATCTCAGAAAAACAATCAAAGCAATCTGTGTCTTTATCAGTCCAACCCTACCCCGAAGAAAGCAGTGCAAAAACTGCAAAATTAATAGTATCAAATCATAAACAAATTTTAAAAAGCATAAAAGTATATCATTTTAAGCAGACCGAGACAAAAAAAAAAAAAAAAAAAAAAAAAAAAAAAGATGCAATATAAGCCATACGATACATAAAAAAAATATATTTAAATATTTAAATTATGATATCATACAGGGCAAGTTTTTTTTTCTTTTAATTATAGCATTAGAATCATACACAAGCAAAAAAGCTTAAAACTCTAATAATGTTTAGCTTAATCGTACTGAGTCCAAAAAGCATGTAAAACAAAAGCAATCCAACATAATCATATTTCAAATATATGCTGTTCTGCAAGAGAAAGTAAATATGCGAGATGCTATTCTACAGCAGTTGCTATGACATTTATGCTTCGGGCACGAACTTGCACTGTACTAACGCAGTGGTTCTTTAAAATTGCCACTAGATCGCGTAGGTGAAACTTCTGTGAGAGCAAGCAGTCAGAAGCATTATGCTCTAAATCTCCAATGTCTCCATAAAGGTGCTGTCACTGCCTATCAGACAAAACCTTACTAAATAAGCAATGATCTTCATTTCCTGCTTATAGATGACGATGATGGAACATTATTAATGGGCTTTCAAATGAAAGTGAGAACATTCAGCAGGTAAATTCACCCTATTTTCCTCTAGATCTAAATCCAGTACAACACGCGGGGGAAGCTTTCGAGGCACGTCTTGCTTTACGTCGATACACATTAAAAGATGTCCACATGCAGAAAAAGGTATTGAAGTAGAACTGGGTGATATCACCACTATCATCATTAACGTCGTTTAAGGTATAAACAAATAATGCAATAAAACATCGGGAGTTATTAATGATTTTTTTTGCTAGGGAACAGCTGTTGCCTGAGAAGTCTCTGGGAGTAGTGACCCGTCCGTATAATGAAACTTTGTATTTACTTCGTCTGCATTATGGAATAGAACTTATCTCGTTTAATAAAGGATTACTGCTGCAAAATAAACAATTATGCAGCAATAGATAATCAAAAAGTCTTTCCGTACCCATTATTGGACTGGTATTGTTTCCTTTATTATTTCTGCACGTCGCGGAATTCATACGATATGATTTTTCCGTAAAACTCGAGGGGCAGGGACAAAATCAAAGAGAAACAAATGTGTTGTCAGTTGAAAATTAATAATGTTAAAAAGTAATAAAAGGTGAAAATTTATTTTTTAGATTTTGTTTTCCTGCGTGATATAAATACGTATATATTTTCCTAGGCAAAATGTCAGCGAAAAGGTAAAGTTTGCGGACACGACGGCCATGAATACTCCAGTGAGTGCGCTGCATGGGCTGAAAAGATATCCATCGACTACAGAGGACCCTGTGTCCGACGTCGTCCTGTACATGGTAAGTACAAATTACTCTGCCGAGTATAGAACACTCGACCAACAAGCTGTATTGTAAATAAAATGAACAAAATATTCTGCCATATAACTCTCGGTATACAACAAGCCATTGACCATAAATAAAAATTAACCATAAGTACGGAATTGCTTTATGCCAATCTTCCCACGGGTAAATTTGGAAAACGTATTCGCATAATTAACATCTAGTTTGAATTAGTAATGATGAATAAATAAATTCGAAAGTTTTAATAACTTAATGAACATTATATATGCATATATGGGTTTTAATGAAGTAAGGAAATTATTATTTTTGAATGATTTCGATCAATAGATACAATCAGGAGAAAATTTATAAAATCTAAAGCCATAAATAAGGAAAAAGAAAGATACAAATATGCTATAAAAATTCTTAAAATTACGAAACTGGTTATCTATGGCATTATGTTTTGGTTAAGCTAATTTCGGCTAAGCATTCAAAGGCTACTCAGCTTTGAACAGAAACGTCTTCATGGAGGATTTTCTAAGGTTAGGTTAGGTTATTTGAATAACGAAATCTATCTAAGAGGAGGAATGCTTTTATGGAGGACCTTCTGATGGAAACTGGCTCGTATTCTCGATATATATGTGGAAAACCATTAAAAACAACGATGTAGCCAGCCTGTTCACCTGGGTTTGAACCCAAGCCAGATAGAACTACACGTATTCAGCAGTCTTTAAACACTCGGCCACAGGTGAAGATAGTGGCAATGTTAATACCCTTCACGGAAAAAACACGAAATCCTCCGTCATTCAGCTTATTGAATTACTTGCAACTTAACATGAAATTAGGTATCAGTTTTCAGTAGCATTACATGCTTGATTGTTGGTGAACACTCGTCAATATGATCTCATGTTCAGTAGAAAAGAAATATAATCAAGAGCAATCTTAACGTAGGTTATATGGTAAAACTTCGTTTCAGATGAAATACTATTACAGTGCGATTAAAACTTTTCCTAACCAGCATCTCAGATCCTCTTGATTTGGTTAGTGAGCTTACTTAAAATTATTTTGGTTAGTAAACCATATTGTGTTCTGTTTTGTTTATTTCTTGATTGATTATATCTTATTTTGTGTTGATTTTTCAGAGGATAAAGATGGCTGTTCCAGAGTTATGTGCCAACCTTTGCCATCAGAGCAATGCAGTAAAATATTTCCTCCTAATGCCTGCTGCCCTATCTGCGGTAAGGATGACCTTCTTTTTAACCCTTTCAACCCTGAATTGTTTTAGGGGTGAAAAACAATAGTCTGCAAAATATTATTTATAGGTGTTAGAAGAACTCTCTTGCAACATATTAACAACTTCCAACTTGAATTTAAGAGACTAGGATGTCGTGGCAGTTGCCACCAAAGGTAAAAACTCACAAAAATATAAACATGGGTTATAAATATTACCAACATTTATTTTTCATGAAATTTTTAAGACAGTTTTAATTTTTTGTTAAACAGAGTGGGACTCTGTAGTTTTCATACTGGATTCTGGAAAGTCCTGCCCAAGTTTCAGTTTTCAATGCTGTTCGTGCTATTCGCCAGTGTCCAGTGTTGCCATATCTTACGTCAAGTACAGGAACTATATGGAGTTTCTGAGATTTTGTTGAACAGGGGAATACCTAAAACTGGAGGTCTCTGATTACGGTTTACCTCGTCTTGATGACGTGTTGACAGCGAACCCAGAAAATGATAAACTTTATGCTGATGCTATAGTGAATTGTAATAAATCTATCGGCAATCTGAATATCGCGGGTCATATCATGCTACCGAAAACAGTCTCTGCTATCGATAAAATAGACATCCACATAAGAATGTGGCAAACGCCACCAGCTGGAGCGAAAGGGTTAATTTCTCTTTTGAAGAGCATTTCAGTATTTTATACTAAACGATGAATTTAACGACTATTTTGAATTTTTATTTTTTTTCGTTTCGTAATTTTCTTTATGCTATCCAGTTGCCTTATATATTCCATTATTCTTTGCTTTACCTTATATTAAACAGCTAACTTTTTATAATAAAGATCTTTTAAATTTATATAAAAATTCGTTTTAAATATATAATTTTTGTATCATGTCTAATATAGAAAACTGTAAGTACATTTTTATTTTTCGCGTGTAAATAGCTCTGGCATGACCAGAGGTATATTTTGCAAATGGCAGACTTGGCGACGGCCACTGGAATCAGCAGAAACTTCGACATTAGTTCATTTACACACATAGGACTGAAATAAAAAAAAATATCCTGAATCCTCTTTTGGCATCTACCCTATTTAAAGAAGCCAAGCTATTCTTGCAGTGTTAGCCGCCATTTAGATTTCAGTGCGTTCACCAAACTCTGCTTTTTAGTAACCACTTTAAATCATTTTCATAGTGCGTTTCTGAGCGCTTTTGGCCTTACAATTGTCCATTTTTAAGAAACGTTTTGAAATTATGGGATTTCTTCCTATAGTTCCAATTGCAATGCTCATTCAAAGTGATGTTAATGTTTAATCCATTTTTTGTGCCATTGTCTCTCTATTGCGCATTAGGATAATACTGGAGAACAAAAAAGCATTATTGAGTAAAGTGCCTTGCTATGGCCGGGAAAGTGCGGAGCTGTACCTGCATGAGCCATCGGGGCCATGGCATGATTTACTTGTTTTGAAGATAAATTTTTAGTACTGAAAATTAGGCAAAACAGCAATCTTTTTTGTCGTGGGGTTCAAATAAAACTTTGTCGATTTCGAAGGCACAGATCCTTCTTTTTCAAGAACGAAAAAAAATTCTAGCAGAATTTTTAAGCATCTATAGAGTTTCATTTAAAATCTGCGCCAAAATAAGGTTGCTGTTTCGCCCAATTTTAAGCTTCACACTAGTAAGTTTCTCTTCTTGTTTGAAATTTTGAGTATTCCCTTTACTGTCGTTAATAAAAAATGACATTTCCTCTCTTTATTGGTGAGGGAATTGCTTACTGATATAAATAAATTATTTTATTTTAGCAAATAATTACACTTCACTTCAAAATTTAGATTGCCTAATATCACAAAACTGACGACATACCTAACATGTATTCCTAATTGGCTTGCACATTTAACCGTTTACATCTGCATGGTTTTTGAAACAGTATTTCATTTGATTTTTTTTTTTTTTAAATAGTGATAAATGTTTTCTGTTTTATCAAAATCAAACGTCTTCCACATTCTAGCGAAACAGCTGAATGAAGGAAAAGATGTATTAATTAAGATTTTTTAAAAATAATTATGATCGCATCTGCAAATAAATAAATAAAATTTTTAAAGAATTTTTTATTGTTATTTTTAAAAGGATCACATGAATTTACATAGCATAAAACTGATCCAGTATTAAATAAAATAACCCGCCGAAGAACAAATGTTGAAGATGCAAACAAGAATCAGCGTCCTTCGAAAATAGCCTTACAAATTTATGTAACTTTGGGCTGATTCTTGTTGTTTTAGTATCTTCGACATAAAACTGCGTCATCAGATTTAAATTATATCCAATCTGCAAATATTGTCATCGATTTCGTCGCTTCAATTCGCTGATCACCATTCCGGTATACTGCATACGAAAATTATGTTCCTCAGCCTACTTTTAATGTGCTATGTCAGATACACCATACTAGTATAGTAAGTCGTAACAAGTCCCCTTTATATTAGAAGAGAAGTAACCCGCTGAGTAAGATAAATCAGAATACATCTTCAGAATATAACAACTTTTATTTTTAACAAAAGTAAGTTACAAGGATGCATGCTCTGCGAAGGAGCACGAGCGACGCTACACTGATAACTGAGATACGGCTACAGATACATACATATAGTTTCTTTATAGTTAAATTTACAGTTTTGAGTACATGAAATAATGCAATTCAATAAGCAGAAAATTATGTTGTCAAGTTACGGTTAAAACTCCCCAGTATCCCGTCTCTAATTACTGTAGCGATTACACATCATATATAGCGACGATTAAATCTCACTATTGTACCAGAACGAGTCGTTTTCTTCGGAGGCAAAACTGTTTCTGCGCTTATGAATTCTGCGGAGTAGACGGGATTGGTGAACTATCACTAAGAATAATCAGTGCTGTTTGTGAAATGTCACTGACTGAATAATCGATTTCAAAAGTTCAGTTACAGTTAAATCGCCACAATAACAAAACTGAAATCTAATAATTCTCGCCATTTTTACTTTTAGGAGCTGCTATCAAGCTAGTATACAGTCAGCGACTTCTGGATGAAGTGGTGGATGCTATACGCTCAATAGATGCAGCAACTATGCTCAAAGTAGCCAAGAAACTTCAAGAGCATGTGAAAACTGCAGAATGCGATGTCAGTGCTTACATGGACGAAGACTCGACGATCATTGCTATCATCTCTCCAAACGTTCCACGACCTTCTCCTCTTTTAATTGAAGCATGTGCTCAGGAAGCCACAAAACTACATTCTTTAGTGGAGCAAAGGAGTCCAACTCTAGTCACTGAATTTCCGCTCTGACCAGCAGCTTTCTAATAGAACCAGTGTCTAAGGGAAAAAGTTCTGGTCCTTTCATGTTCCTGCATGTTTTACTTCAAATTGCAAGCGCCGTGTTAGTTCTGAATGCTTTGTTAGGTTACAATATCACGTGAAACTTCAAAATGGTTGAGAAAGTTTTCAAATTTAATGCTGTTAACAAACCAAGACTGCAGGGGAAAAAATTGTAAATAGATATGAGTTGTTCATTTTTATTTTGAAAAATTACAGAACTGATACTCTCATATCGATGAATCATATCGTCCAATCAAATCATCTACATGTGACTGTCAGCATAGAAAGTTTCAAAAACAGTTTGCAAGTTAAGCTTCAACAAGAAAAAGAAGCAGTTGTACATACTCAGTTTTACATCAATAACTCTTTGAAAGCAAAATGTGCGAGTTCAGTTTCTTCAAATGGTGATCAAGACTTGGATTTTGGTATAACTTTGTTTCTAAATAATAAACAAAAAACTATCATGGCAAATCGTAAAGGAAAATTTAAAAAGCGTCAGTTCTCGAACTTACTGCACGCACTATTTGATGTTCTCATATAGCTTGAGAGTAAAATTTATTTCTAGAGCTGCTCAAGATTTTTCATTTATGGTATAGACATTATGCCATGCTCGCCTTAGTTATCATCACTCATTAGTATCGTAATTCACTTGTATTCTAAATAATAACTCCTGCATCAGTGCAAAATGGTTATGATTTTGAAAGTAGTATGGACCTCCTGGTCCAAATATATTAAATTTTCCCACTAAAGCTAAAACGACAAGAAATTACTTTCCAAGCATAACTTCTACTGTGTGAAATGTGATAAATGTATAATGCATTTATAATATGATCTAAATTCATATTAATGTCATCAAATCGGAGGCGGTGGCATGCTTTGTTTTATGGTGACTGCAATGCCTGCTATCAGTTCACCAACAACAATGTGCAATATTTCTTATTCGCACACATTTAAAAAAATTAATTTCATTGGAATTTCTTTATATATATATATATATACATATTCCTGAAGTTAAATGGTTGTTATTTTTTATTTTTAACTCAAGAACCTTCTCAACATATGATATACATAAAAGCTGCAATATGAAGGCACATTTAATTAATACACTGTGATTGATAAATATACAAAGTAGCTCGATGCGAAATTTCCTGCAGAACTCGTGATTTTTTTTATTAAAATATCTAACACATTTAAGGTAATAAACAACCACCAAAGTTTAAAAAAAAAAAAAAAAAAAAATGTTGGAAAATTAAAGTTTATAATATTTTTATTTTTACATGAAAGTTAAAAGCCTTTAAATTTAATATTCAAAAATATATGTAATTAATATGTAGTTACACTTTTAAAATAAATTAATTCAGATTAAATTTAAAATAAATTAATTCAGATGCAAAATACTATATTTTGTCCTTACTTTTAAGAAGAAACAACAGACATTATGTTACCCTGTTTGAATTCCACTTCAAATTTTTAGTTCACAGTTGTTTTACAGGATTAGATTAAGCGAGGGTTTCCTACAAATTTTGCCAACCATAGCAGGATTGTTGGATTTCAAAAAAAAGGCAATGTACCAGGAGCAAATGCTGAAATATGCATAGCACTACTATTGTTGCTGCTAATCTCCCATCCAGATATCCAGGCTATGAACAGTCTTATAAGTAATCATATATAGATCAAAGAGTGCTCATGTTGTTGAATACATCTTAAGCATTAATACAAACAATACTTTGTCCCAGCTTTGTTCACAGTTTCATCAAGAACACCTTTAGTGGATGAATTCGAAGGTCTTGTACTCCTCTGTCACTATCAACCATCTCTTGAAAGGACTTTTATATTATCAAATTTTAAATATATCCATCCAGTCTGCAAAAATGTACATTTGCTAGTGTCCATGCCCATTGATTTGGTGGCCATTATGCATGCTGTGGCATGTGCAAACTGATCAGTGCAAGTTTATATCAACAGAATCTAATATTAGCTCACAAGACCCTTCTTAGAGCCCAGCATAAATTTTAGGCAGCATAAAATCGTTTTTTAATTCATGATCTTGTTTTTCTCTCATGAGAACAAAAAAAATAAGTATTAAGGATCGTTGAAAGAATGCATGTCCTAAAGTCACATATTAGTTTAATCGAGCCTTGGGCATGAAGCCATTCTTTACTAAGAGTGAATAGAACAGAAAAAGGAAAGTTATATAATTATTAATTAATAATTATTATTATTTTAATTGTTATTATTAGCAATGAGAAAGAGAAATCTGAAAACAACCTATTAAGGGAAACACATAAAATTCCTTGCATAAATATCTGCCCTTTCACCTATAAATCAAGCTCCTAATAAAGAGTTAGTTTGATGCAACTGAAAATTTAAGATCTTCTCACTTAAACCAGGGTCACAACTATTTCAGTCTTATTAATTGCTCCTATCACACAGAACTTATTATATGTAGTATGTTTCATTTATTTACCTCCTGTTAATTACCTTATTGTATAAAAGAATGCAATAATAAAGTATGAATATTAGCCCAAATAAAAGACGACCTCTCGCATTGCATTCTACAAATTAGACACCACTTTCTGAAGGTTTTTCTTAAGAGAAAGAAGTAGCTTGCATGAAAGTCCTCTTAAATTCAAGCTAATAATAAAGGCATAATTGTCACCCAAACACTCTTCTGTGATACAACAGGAGTGCCTGAAGCAACACCATCTCGAAGAACTATCTAGAAGGTGTAAGTATCTAGTTACTGTAACTGTCTAGAAGGTGTTTGGCCTCGGCAACAGTAACATCTGAAAATGTAACAGGTATCATGAGCAACGAAAGGGTTAATCTATGTTTTATAACTAGTGCACATTATGCAGGTTTGCATACAATACTAGCACGTATCCAAGATAACCTATCATCTAAGATCTTGCACTTTTAAAGCATTTTAATAATTGAAGGACTTTTGTGTATGTGTGTTGGTCTATATATTGAAGGTGGTGGTGAGAGTGTTTCTAATCCAGCTAATCTTGGACAGAGTTCTAGATCAAATCTGCGAATTTTACCGCGGCCAAAAGGGAGATGGTAGCGCTCGTCGTTGGTTAAAACCCAAGCATCTTATAGGTGACAGTACGAGTTTGCCCACCCCAATTTTGATACAAAATACTTCAAGGAATAGATTCAATGGTTTCTGACCCTCTTTCTCTGCTTTCAACTTCTCAAGAGAAATTACTATTTGATGATATTTTATGCACCTGTCAAGCCACACAGACATAATACATTTAATAACATCCATGCTTTCTCCAAGTTTGAAGCCCCGGCGCAACGATATGACAAAGTTGAAAGTGTTCAACAATAAACATAATCAAATGCTTTGATACAATGCATCCAGATAAAAATTTGGTGAACATTAAATACTAACTTTGAAAGATATGATGAGTTATTATCTTAATGTATTTTTTAAATATTAGATGGTATATATAAGATCGATATGATTTTTCAAAACATATTTTATGGAAAAAGGCTGTTTCATATTTGGGCCTATATGATGCAAGCTTCATATCCTATTGATGAAGAAAAATTCTGTTCTGTAAAAATATTTTTATTAAATAATCTTATCTTCATGCACATAACTACATATTTTCATAGTTACTATACTGTTTATCTAAAATGGAACATTAGCTAGAATGTAACTTATTTTAATAAATATGAGTATTTTTTTATACTATTGTAACTAAAATCTCAGAAAATTAATATAGCTATATATTTTGACAAAAAAAAATCGATGTTAACTATTTAGCCCAAAATCTTCCTAATCAGTGTTCCTATGGTTTAGGCTCTCCTTGGCTATTTGTTCCTATACAGATTGAATTCATATTTGAATATATCAATTTTAAGAAATCCTAGCCTAATATTGTTAATAGATTTCACTTCAATATGTTCCTATGACATCAGGCCTTCAAAAAGTGCCTTATAGTTATCTACATTTGTTTGTACTAGTTTGTGTTTTTACCAAAGAATTTGTAATATAAGTTTTGGAGGTATCCTTTAACAAATGTGTAAAATATACATATATTTATATATATGTGTTATGGTTTAATATGTAAATTACCAATGTATGTATTAAATATCATTCTGTGAAACATCTTGTTGAATCTTTTTAAAATAAAATGTTTTGAAATTCATAAAAGGTTGTGCGTGTATTCATAATTTTAATTAAGCAACAAATACTAGCAGAGACCTTACCATAAACAAGATCTTAAAATAGCACTTACAGTTTTTTTTCTTCATTTAATTGCACATGTATAATTCTGTGAAGTCACTGTTAATCTTTGTAAATATGTCATGCTATCTGTTACTTACAAATGACTGACGAGTTTCTGTCACTGGTAAGAAAAAGTCTATCAACTCAAAATGGTATACTGCTTTGTATACAATGTGTTCATTCATCATACCGCCGTACTTGGTTTAAAATCCACCCTGATCGTCTGGAATTCAATATGTTTGATTAGTCAGAACTGCATACACACACTTGTTTACCTCTTTTGAGACAATTTTACGACTGCCCATAAGCATCAACATGCCTGTTGCTACTATTTAGTAAACAACCGTGCTATAATTATGAATTTTCAAGTTATTTCGCGATTTTTCATGTAATTTGTTTTAAAAATTAGGAAAGTTAATGTGATGAATCAAGCAATGAAGAAAAATGGTAAAATATTCATGGAAGTGAAAAAAAAAGAGATTGTTGAAAAGTATGATGATTGCATACATATCCAGGATTTGGCTACTGCATGCGACAGCGTTTACATTTATGAAAAACAAAGACACCATTAAATAAGCTAACAATGCAAAGGGAGTGAAATCGATTACCAGACAAAGAATCAGACACATTTGCAGCATGTTAAGAAATTGCTTTCGATCTGAGCAGCAGAAAAACAATTACATACTGTATCATGTGCAGTGCTTCATTTATGTATAGTATATATATTTCACCCATTGTACTTTTATTCTACTATTAAACTCTGTTATAATAATAACAATAGGACTTTTTTACAGGAACAGATTAATTATTTACCCTTTCTTATTGGAAAAGTTCATTTCATATCTGTCCAAGGATCTGGAAAAGATTAATGTCTTATAATGAGGTATCATTGCATTCAAATTCAAAACTGATATCATTCAAAATTAGTTACTGAATCCCTGTAAATCAACAGTTTGAAAAAAAAAATTTAACATTTCACCAAAATTTTAAATTTATATTTTGAAACTAATTATCAGTTGTTTATGCTTCATTTGTATTAGTTAGTATGCTTATCAATTGTATAAATATGTTTACATAAAACCAAATATTGTCACTAAATTTGTAATTAATGAATACACTGCAGTTACTTGCACTTTTAATTCAGTTCAATAAATGAAGTATTAGTTAGATAAATATATGTTCTCATACACTAACAACTGAAACTGTACCTATTTACACTCTGTCAAACTAATATGCTGATTCTCTCCAATAAATACAGTTGATGTAAAATTAGTCCATTACTACTATGAATATTTTTTTCACTGCAGTGATACATGTTTTAATCTGT